CGGTCTCTGGCGCCGGTTGGACGGTCTCTGGCGCCGGCTGGACGGTCTCTGGCGCCGGCTGGACGGTCTCTGGCGCCGGCTGGACGGTCTCTGGCGCCGGCTGGACGGTCTCTGGCGCCGGCTGGACGGTCTCTGGCGCTGGCTGGACGGTCTGGACGGGGCTGGTTGGAACCAGCAGTGTAGGGCATACGGTCTCTGGAGGGCTGGACGGAACCAGCAGTGAAGAGCATACAGTCTCTGGAGGGCTGGACGGAACCAGCAGTGAAGAGCATACAGTCTCTGGAGGGCTGGACGGAACCAGCAGTGAAGAGCATACAGTCTCTGGAGAGCTGGATGGAATCAGCAGTGAAGAGCATACAGTCTCTGGAGGGCTGGACGGAACCAGCAGTGAAGAGCATACAGTCTCTGGAGGGCTGGACGGAACCAGCAGTGAAGAGCATTCAGTCTCTGGAGAGCTGGACGGAACCAGCAGTGAAGAGCATACAGACTCTGGAGGGCTGGACGGAACCAGCAGTGAAGAGCGTTCTGGCTCAAAAGGACTGGCGGTGAGCGCGGGCTCGACAGGGCTGACGATGAGCGCAGACTCGACAGGGCTGACGGTGAGCGCGGGCTCGGCAGGGCTGACGGTGAGCGCAGACTTCCGGGGAACGAGACGTAACCGGGGTCGCAGGACCGGGTAGAGGATCCCCCGGAAGATCACGGTGTCCATGTTGCTTTTTTGGGTCGGTCAATCTGTCACGGTGCGGGTGCAGGCAGAAGAACAGGCTGAGTTCAGAATCTCGATAAAGAGACATTTAATTCAAAAATACAGGCAGGAGGACAGGGTTTCACAGCGTAACATTCAACATTGACCGACAAACACCGACTGAAGGAGGGAGAACTAAATACACAGGGAAATCAGGACTAAATGAGGTGAACACAGGTGGAAATGATAATGACAGGACGAGGAACAGGTGGCTGATTGGGGAGTGAGTCCGGGAGAGGAACAAAAGGATCCGGGGAAGTGTGGTGCAGATGACGGGACACAACAGGTGAAGACGACAGACTGTGACATATACATGAATTATAATAGCCTGATGAACAAATAGAAAAGGTGATCTGATGGTGTTGGTTATGTTTTACCATAATCATTATTTCACAATCATTTGACCTGATCTATGAACTCACATAGAGTTCAGTTTAGGTTTACTTAATTAATTGTATAACAGCAATGTCCTTGAACAGTATAATATTTTTATGATTTTTACAAGGTAATCCATATATTTTTTATAACGTATATCAAATACAAAAAAAACAACTTTGCTCTGATTTAGTTTTTGATTTAGACACACAGAGATCTAAAATTAGCCTGTGAATCTCAACAATGGTGACAATAATGGCGCTTGTTGCATTGCATTCTGGGTGCCACCAATCAAAACTCATTCATGGCTCCCATCATGCATTGCTGCATGAATAAATAATGAGCTTATGATCAGAGGTGATCTGTTTGTCACCATTGTTGAGATTAATATGCAAATTATTGATGTCTGTTTGTGCCTCCATGAAATAACTTCCGAAGTTATCTTTTTATTGTTTTGATCATTTAGTTCCATTGAAAATGCTAAAAATATGATGCTGTCCAAGGCCAATAATGTTATAATTACTAAAATAAACCTTAGTCAGAAACTGGGCTCTATGTGAGTACAGTGATTTAAGTCAAATAATTGTGAAATATTGATTATGTTAAAACACAACCAACACAATCAGATCACGTTTCCTATTTGTTCGTCAGGCTATTATAATTCATATATAACAGCCAAACAACATCCAAAGTTAACAGTTTAAGGGACAAGAGCCCAACTAAAACACACACTGATCTCTATAATGGTGACTTCAAAATCTCGGTTTTCTTCTTCGGTGATTCTGCTTGTTATCATCAGGTGTCTTCAATGATGGCAATGAAAAAAAAAGAGATCTTACGTAAATCATCTTTGACGTCAGTCTGTTATTCCGATATTTTAGTTTAAAAAAAATGTGTAAATTTTACTCAATTTAAATGGTTAACTTTTAATTAATTTGTTTGGTTAATTATTACTCCATTCTAATTTGTTAAATTTAATTAATAATATTGAGTGTAATCTGTTGCCTCAATTTTATTGATTAGATTTAACAGATTCAGTCATTTTCTTTTTTACAGTGTACATGATTATTCATATACCCGTATTGTAAAGTGTTACCGGAAAAATACTGTATGATTGTAATCATCTGCTTGTTATGCTGGTATGGTTTATGGTTTAATTTATTAATAAATATCATAATGATCACTGAGATCTACTGTGTTTCAGGCACCAGTGGAGTGGATGATCATGTGTTCATCAGTTCTGGTGTAGATGTCCGTCTGTCCTGTAATAATGCTCTTTCTGGCTGCAAATCAACTACATGGACCTACAGCAGATTCAGTCATTCAGCAACAGTTGAACTGATTAAATTAGGGATAAAGAATGAAAACACAGAGAGACATGAGAGACTGAGTCTGGAGTCTGACTGCTCTCTGAACATCAAGAACGTCACAGAAGAAGATTATGGATCTTACATCTGCAGACAATATGTGAACGGACGACAAGGATCTGATGCACGTGTTTATCTGCATGTTCTTCATGGTAAGTTTATGATTATTTGGTCAGTTTAAAAAGGGAAGATTCTTTATTAAACTCAGATGATGATTGAAGAGTCTGTGATTTGTGTCTTGTGTTCAGTTTCAGTGTCTCCATCATCATCATCATCATCTTCATCCTCACAGACTGAGATCAGTCCAGGCCGCTCTGTGACTCTCTCCTGTCAGTTGTATTCATATACTGGATACTCCTGTGATAATCGGGTTCGTTATGAGGGATTTGAGCTGTTGTGGGTGAATCAGGCTGGTGTTGATCTGAAGACAGACTCCAGATATCAGATATCATCATCATCATCAGATCAGTATCGCTGTATTATCACTCTGACTACAACACTCCTGGATGAAGATAACAACAGAGAGTGGAGATGTCAGCTTACTCACAGAAATCAACTCCAGACGTCAGTCACATACACTGTCAAGTATTCAGGTGAGAAACACTGTTAGAAGACAGATTTGAGAAAACTTCCACAGACTGGCTCTACTCTTGATGATGACTTCATACGTTTGGAAATTGTAAAATATTAGAGGACATCAGTAAGTCACACTGCATAGAAATCCTTATAATTCCCAATATTAACCTCCTACATGGGTCATCCATGAAATATTGCATAAATCTATTAAAGCCTAGTATGACCCATGTAGGAGTTCAGCTTTAGGAGTTATACGGCTTAAAGGATTAGTTTACTTTTGAAAAAACTTTTGCTGATAATTTACTCACCCCCATGTCATCCAAGATGTCCATGTCTTTCTTTCCTCAGTCGAAAAGAAATTTAGGTTTTTGATGAAAACATTCCAGGATTTTTCTCCATATAATGGACTTCAATGGGAACCGGATGGTTCAAGGTCCAAAAGATAGTGTTAATAACAGTTTCAGATGCAGCTTCAAATGTCTTTAAACGACACCAGACGATGAATAAGGGTCTTATCATGTGAAACGATCGGTTATTTCAAAGCTTATTCCAAAAATGTAACTTTTCTAAGGACAAATGCTAGCCTTGTAATATACTGTGAGGCGCGTTTGTAACGTCACATAATACGTAATTACGTTCAAAAGGTCACGGGCGACGTAGCCGGAAGTACAGAATCAAAATCGTCCGACATCGTTGTTTTACCTTTTAATTCCTTTTTTGTAAACGGCGTTTGAGTTAGTTTGCATGTTCAACCTATGCGTTCAACTTGTAAACACTCGGACTCTGTACTTCTGGCTACGTCGCCCGTGACCTTTTGAACGTAATTACGTAATACGTGACGTTACAAACGCGCCTCACAGAATAGAGCAAGGCTAGCATTTGTCCTTAGAAAAGTTACATTTTTGGAATAAGTTTTGAAATAAGCGATCGTTTCGCATGATAAGACCCTTATTCATCGTCTGGTGTCGTTTAAAGACATTTGAAGCTGCATCTGAAACTGTTATTAACTGTCTTTTGGACCTTGAACCATCCGGTTCCCATTGAAGTCCATTATATGGAGAAAAATCCTGGAATGTTTTCAACAAAAACCTAAATTTCTTTTCGACTGAGGAAAGAAAGACATGGACATCTTGGATGACATGGAGGTGAGTAAATTATCAGCAAAAGTTTTTTCAAAAGTGAACTAATCCTTTAATAATGTCCTTCATTCAGGAAAGCTGAAGGTTTATGGGAAGCAGCTCAACTGTGTTTCACTCTCATGCAAACCAGGAATAAATGATCCAGTAACATCTCTCTTCTCAACTACTGATACTGTAAGCTGTGATGATTGAACACAAACTGCATGTCATGATCAATGTGAAGATATGATGTTAATGTCCTACAGGTGATGTGTGTGAACATTCATCTTCTGCAGCTCCAGTCTCTTCAACAACACTGACTCCAGTCAGCAGATCAAACTCTGAGAAGACATCAAGCAGAACTACAGAGACAACTCCTACACAAGGTTCATGATCACATGACCACTGACACACATCATCACTCTCGCTTCAGTGGTTTGATCACACCACAGTAAAATCAGCCGGATAATTACATCAATTCAGTATTGAAACCTCAAAGGATTTATTGTGTTTATGGATTAAAATATGACATATTTCTATTTCCATCTTGTTTTTAATAGTTGTGACTTCAACTACATCAACTACAGTAACAACACGTCCCACAACAACCTCTCCGAATCCAGGTGTGTATGAACATCATCCTCATCATCCAGAGAATCAGTTTCTGATCACACATCATCACTCTCGCTTCAGTGGTTTGATCACACCACAGTAAAATCAGCCGGATAATTACATCAATTCAGTATTGAAACCTCAAAGGATATATTGTGTTCATGCATTAAAATATGACATATTTCTATTTCCATCTTGTTTTCTAATAGTTGTGACTACAACTACATCTACTACAGTAACAACACGTCCCACAGTAACTGCTGGATTATTATACAGAGGTACGACACGTTGATTTAGACGGGCCGCTTTCTAACATTACACTATCAGTCCGTCTGTAAATGCTTCATCAATAACTGTTGATAGATGAAGACCCTTGACTTCAGTCATGTCCAGTTTCTCTTCTTCCTCTCATGTTTCCTGCAGTGATTGTGAGTATTGTTGAGATGGCAGTGTTTGCTGCTCCTACTGTGATTCTTCTTCAGATCATCTGTGCAAGAAGAGCTGGTGAGTTTGAGCCGCACACACTCTGAAGATTCACACTCGTCTGATCTGAACATCTGCAATCATGATAAACACACACCAGAGGTCAGGCAATGCTTTTATTTTGCAGGGAGGAAGAACTCGAGACACCCGGAGGAAATAGAGATGCCTGCAATACAACAATAAAAACTGGTGAGTTGTGAGCAAATCTGCAACAATATTTACAATAGAAAAAACTGAGTTTGTTTTATTTTTTCTTCTCAGATAAAAAACTCTTCCTCCATTTCTCCACGTCTGTCGCCATGGTTACTGTGGTTGTATGAGCAGAAACTGAGGGTAACGTGGATATGACGCCATTGACTGGAAACTCCCTCAGCCCTGCTCACACGCCCCGTTTCCTTGGTTACCATCGCAATTTTCTCGTTTTTGGATATTTTACTGCAAAAATCCCACATATTGTACCTTTAAGTCACCATTATAGTGATCAGTGTTTAAGTTGGGCTCATGAGATTTTAATGTACCTTTGTTTTAACAGTTCCCAGGAGAGTTATTTTAAATGAAGTTTTGTTAATAACTAAGTTCGGGAGGAGCACGTTCAGATAATTAACACGAGTGGACGGCAATCAGCAATCAGCAACCAATGATAAGAGGGTATATATAGACTCAGCAGTCTTACCTCGATCCATTGGCAGTTTGCAGCATTTGGCCATGTCCGAATCTAGCTCTTCCTGTTTTCGATAGAGAATCTTTCGTCCAGAATTAGGAATCTTTTCCGCAACCCGGTATCATCCCATGGGCGTCAGGCCAAACAAACGGGTCATCGCCACCCCGGGCGAAACATCCGCAATCTACTTCCGCGGTATCTTTAAACCGGACCATTCAATAATTCCTGCCATAGAGATATGGACAAGGCAATGCGGCATCTTAACGCAAAGGAATGGACATTCCTCCAGCGTCGGCCGTCGCAACAGGCAGTAAGTAAGTTAAGCCACGCTGCAGATCCAGTCCCGGCTGATCCACACTCTCAAACATCTGCCGGGTCAACTCTGTGAGTGCTTAGCTGAAAACTTTCGCGTCCCTGATTGAACTTCGCATCGCTTCAATCGTTGAATGTCGAGCATTTACGCTATCCGGATACTAATTGTGATCGATATAAATAGTTTCTGTACAATGATTTGCGTTCCTTAAACGCGATGCTTCTTTATGGCGTAAAACTCACACGTAAACAGTAGGGCTGGGAATCGATTCTAAAGAATTGATTCCTCGATCCCAAAAAGAATCGATTCCTCGATCCGAGGCGTTAGGAATATAGAGTCGATTCCAAAGCTAGGAATCGATTCCATTAACAGGAATCGACTCCTCTTTTAAGATTTCAGAAGTTCAGACCAATTCTAACCCGCAGCTTCACCATTTGGTTTACTAATCCAGAACGAACAAATCGGCAGGGAACCACCCTTAGAAATGACAAATAAATAAATGAGAAACAACGGAGCTTTTACACTAGGCTTGTTACGGTGAAATGCCATATATGGTTTGTATCCTGTGTTTGCAGCGGTCCGAGCGCATTTGTCCCCGACGCCCCCCGCAGCGTGGGTCCGGTTCCACACCCATTTTAATTCTATCGAACCTTGGTGCGTTCGCGTGCATCTTATGTCATTGCAAACGTGCACGGCGCTCGATGGAAAGCAGAACGTGGGTAAATATTGTGTATTTACTTATTTATTTTTAGTAAAATTGCTTCTACTATGCGCAGTTAAGTGAACAATACAGGTTTATTGTACGTGTGTCGCATAAGGTGGTTTTCTGCTGCTTGCAAACGGACCCGTAAGAATACAGTGGATTTACAAATATGTTGCTCTGATTCCACGTACAATGCTCGAATACACTGCAGGCTCACTCTCGCTCGTATCCAGGGTAATTCCTCAACACTATCATCCCTTACTCATTTAACTGAATACATCACAATAAGCTAAAACGCATGCACAGGATACCTTATTTCCTGAACAAGGGCGCACCCGAGTCCGTGCTGGGTAGTCAGTACTACCACCACCTCCTCCAGGTAGTCTCGGGTCCGGTACCCCAGTGCGCACCCGGTTCCCATAATGGCGTTCACATTAGCGATTTTTCATGCGAACCTTTCCCCGTTACGGACTTAACTGCCAGGGTGAAAGTTCCCTAAGCCATTTTGAAACGTTAATAAAGATGTGCATAATCCTGCAAAGATTAAATCGCCCCTCTTTTTCGCATCTTTGTTTGCGCTCAAGAAGATGATAATCGGCCAGCCAGGCCCCAATCTACTTCCCGCTCTTGCTCGGCTTCACACCACAGCTCATTTGCACAGGTACGTTTCTCCACTGCCCAGCAGTGACGTCTACTCTGCTCCCACTGAAGCTCTGTTTCTCCGGCTAATTTTCTATACTGCCCCAGCAGTGACGTCTCCTCTGCTCCCACTGGAGCTCTGTTTCTCTGGCTAATTTTTTCCACCGCCCCAGCAGTGACGTCTCCTCTGCTCCCAAAGGAGCTCCGTTTCTCTGACTAATTTTTCTACTCTGCCCCAGCAGTGGTGTCTCATCTGCTCCCACAGGAGCTCTGTTTCTCTGACTAATTTTTCTACTTTGCCCCAACAGTGATGTCTCATCTGCTCCCACAGAAGCTCTGTTTCTCTGACTAATTTTTCTACTTTGCCCCAACAGTGATTTCTCATCTGCTCCCACAGGAGCTCTGTTTCTCTGACTAATTTTTCTACTCTGCCCCAGCAGTGATGTCTACTCTGCTCCCACAGGAGCTCTGTTTCTCTGACTAATTTTTCTACTCTGCCCCAGCAGTGATGTCTACTCTGCTCCCACAGGAGCTCCGTTTCTCTGGCTAATCTTTTCTACTCTGCCCCAGCAGTGATGTCTACTCTGCTCCCACAGGAGCCGTGTTTCTTTCGGCTAATTTTTCTACTCTGCCCCAGCAGTGATGTCTCATCTGCTCCCACTGAAGCTCTGTTTCTCCGGCTAATTTTCTATACTGCCCCAGCAGTGACGTCTCCTCTGCTCCCACTGGAGCTCTGTTTCTCTGGCTAATTTTCTCCACCGCCCCAGCAGTGATGTCTCCTCTGCCCCCACAGGAGCTCTGTTTCTCTGGCCAATCTTTTATACTCTGCCCCAGCAGTGATGTCTCATCTGCTCCCACAAGAGCCGTGTTTCTTTCGGCTAATTTTCTACTCTGCCCCAGCAGTGATGTCTCATCTGCTCCCACAGGAGCTCTGTTTCTCTGGCTAATCTTTTCTACTCTGCCCCAGCAGTGATGTCTACTCTGCTCCCACAGGAGCACCGTTTCTCTGGCCAATCTTTTATACTCTGCCCCAGCAGTGATGTCTCATCTGCTCCCACAAGAGCCGCGTTTTTTTTTCCGGCTAATTTTCTACTCTGCCCCAGCAGTGATGTCTCATCTGCTCCCACAGGAGCTCTGTTTCTCTGGCTAATCTTTTCTACTCTGCCCCAGCAGTGATGTCTACTCTGCTCCCACAGGAGCCGTGTTTCTTTCGGCTAATTTTTCTACTCTACCCCAGCAGTGACGTCTCATCTGCTCCCACTGAAGCTCTGTTTCTCTGGCTAATTTTTCTACTCTGCCCCAGCAGTGATGTCTCATCTGCTCCCACAGGAGCTCTGTTTCTCTGGCTAATTTTTCTACTCGGCCCCAGCAGTGATGTCTCATCTGCTCCTACAGGAGCTCTGTTTCTCTGAATAATTCTCATATGAGCTCTGTTTCTCTGGCTATTTTTTCTACACTGACACAGCAGTGATGTCTACTCTGCTCCCACTGGAGCTCTCTTTCTCTGACTAATTTTCACTCGGCCCCAGCAGTGATGTCTACTCTGCTCCCACTGGAGCTCTCTTACTCTGGCTTATTTTCTACACTGCTATAACAGTGACGTCCCCTCTGCTCCCACTGGAGCCCTGTTTCTCTGGCTAACTTTCTACACTGCCACAGCAGTGTCGTCTCCTCTGCTCCATCTGAAACTCTTTTCTCTGGCTAATTTTCTTCACCGTCACAGCAATGATGTCTACTCTGCTCCCACAGGAGCTCCGTTTCTCTGGCTAATTTACTACACCGCCACAGCAGTGACGTCTCCTCTGCTCCCACAGATGCTCTGTTTCTCTGGATAATTTTCTACACTGCTCAAGCAGTGACCTCTTCTCTGCTCCCGCAGGAGCTCTGTTCCTCTGGCTTATTTTCTACACTGCTATAACAATGATGTTTTCTCTCCAGTACATCACCATTTAGAATTATTATTCCTGCTAAAACCCTTAATTGATTATTTCCTCTGTCCAGCAAGCTTGGTCTCCAAGCTAACGTCGCACGCATCAAAATTTATCCTCCAAGCGGTATCTCCCAGGACCCTTCAATCCTATATTACCGCTTGGAGGTAACATAAAGAAAGGAAACGATAAATATAACGTCTCTTATAACTTGCCTTCCCCCGATTTTTCTCTTTCCAATCAAATCTTTTATCTCCTATTAAAGGTTATTTGAGCGGCAATCCAGTTTTTCCCATAAACTGTCGTACGGCACTACTTCTGTGGAGTTAAACAATTCACAAACCCTGATTAAAGGGATCCAAAGATCCCAGCCCACCCGCCCCCGACTCCGGACACCCCATAACACTGGAAATTCTCATTAAATGTATTCGGCTTTCCGCATAAGCTACCAGCCCTTCAGTTCCACTCACACACTCAATGCCACGTTTAAATTACCCTTTTTCGTTTTTCTTAGACACTCAAAAAACCGCCATCACTTTATGAGCAGAGTGAGTGCTTTCCCAGAGGAGCCCTTACATTTTTCTCCTTCATCCAGCGAGCAGTTGGTCTCACAGCGGATGCAGTGTGAGAAAAAATCTCCTGGGCAAGCACTCAATTTTTCCACTTTTCAGTTTTCCTTCTTCCATCCAGCGAGCATCGGTCTCACAGCGGATGGAGTGAGAGCTTTCCCAGTAGAGCACTTAAAATTTTCTCTTTCATCCAGCGAGCAGTTGGTCTCACAGCGGACGGACATGAGAAAATTTCCTGGGCAAACACTCATTTTCCCCTCTTGTCAGGTTTCCTCTTTCCGTCCAGCGAGCATTAGTCTCACAGCGGACGGAGTGAGAGCTTTCCCAGTAGAGCACTTAATTTTCTCTTTCATCCAGCGAGCAGCTGGTCTCACAGCGGATGGAATACGAGAAATCTCCTGGGCAAACACTCATTTTCCCCTCTTGTCAGGTTTCCTCTTTCCGTCCAGCGAGCATTGGTCTCACAGCGGACGGAGCGAGAGCTTTCCCAGTAGAGCACTTAAATTTTCTCTCTTTCATCCGGTGAGCATTCGGTCTCACCGTGGACGAGAGTACGAGAAAATCTCCTGGATAAGCACTCATTTTCCTCTTTTCAGGTTTCCTCTTTCCGTCC